GCGCAGACCGGCCCGGGGCCGCCCCGTTCCCGAGGGTGTCGGGGACTGTGTAGGAGATGCCCCCCGGGGACCCTCTCCCCCACCCTGGTCCCCCAGAGCTCTGTGGCCTCGGGCTGCCACCTGCAGGCTTGGCGCCAAGCTCAGGCACCGGAGCCCTGGCACGGACAGGTCCCGGGGCCTGGCAGCCGCTGAGCCCAGGGAGGACAGGGGAGGCCCGGGAGGCCCCGGACAGCCGCACGCCAAGTGCCCAGGGGGCCCCCATGGCCGGCAGCCTGGCCCAGCTCTCGCCAGCAGGCTGCTTCCTGAGCTCGGCTCCGGCCTGGACAGGGCCCCAGCAGGCCCACGCAAGCTGGGCAGAGCGAGGAGCCCGCCACGTCCTGACTCGTGGCCTCTGAGCAAGCGGCCGAGCCCCCGGCTGCCGTCCTGGCCCTCGTCGGAACTGTCACCTGCCTCGGCAGCCCCCACACTCGGTCTCCTCCTAGATGGGCAAACTGAGGTGCAGGGCAGCCCTCCCTAGCTCTCGCCAGTCACCCTCAGGGCTCCCAGGCTCGGCCCATCCAGCCGGGGCCCGGTGACCCCCAGTCGTGGGTGGTAGTGGGGTCAGCATGTCCCCTCTTCTCTTTCTTTACTGCCATTATACATCTCCAGGTGTAAACATTAACGTGCGTGACACATAAGTGCCCCCCTTTGATTTTTACTAAGTCACACTGTTCCCTATACACCGGCGTGCGGCACCGTAAACGAACACGCCGCCCCTCACCCCCTTCCTTCCCGGCGCCGTAGCCGGTCTCACACGCGGAACGCTCGTCCGCCTTCGTCCCTCTGCACACGCAGAGCGAGGTCAGTTTGTCCTCCTCCCTGACGTATGTCCCCAGGCATCACCCTCCAGGTCCATTGCGTTGTCATATGGAAAGACTCAGCCTTCTTCGTGGCTGAGTAGTACTCCGCTGCGTGGGAGCCGTGTCTCCTCTCCCCACTGGTCTGGGGTTGGGTGCTTAGCTGTTTTCCGTTCTAATGCTGCCGTGAAGTGGGGGTGCATCTCTCCTTCAAAATTGCCTTTTTGCAGTTCTCGGGTAAAATCCCACCCCCAGTGGGCTGACTGGACGGTGGAACTTGGTTTGCTGGTTTGGGGAGGGCTCCCTGTGATGGCCACACTGCCCCCCCGGGCGCGAGCCCGGGCCTCCCCACTACCCATGGCTCGCGGCACAGCTGGTCTCCAGGGTGAGTTGAGGGGGGCAGCTGGAGCCGCATTTCCCCGGAGACGGGCGGCCTGGGCCGGCCAGCGCCCTGGTCTGCCTGGAGGCCTGATCCCTGCTCGTTTTTCACGGGGCGGCCGGCTTTGTTCTCGGGACTGAGTTCTGCACGGCTCTGGGTACTGACCCCTGCCAGAGGCGAGATGTGCAGGGGCCGTCTCCTGCCCAGTGGGCGCTGTCCTCCTGCGGCCAGTTCCTGGGCCCGCGCGGGGCTCTTGGCTGGGGCTGCGCCCTGCCCGGCGGGGGTGGGAGCGAGGCCCTGTGCCGGGGT